TTCTATGAACGACTTACCCTGGCTGCCCTGGAATTAGATATACAGAGCAGGCAGGCCCCTAACTCACAGAGATCCTCCTGCCTCTGCCTCCCAGTGCTGGGATTAAAGCTGTGCACCAACCTTTTCAACAGCAACCTTCTTACTGCTCTAAACTGGTCCCCTAGCCACTGACACACTCATTTCAGGAGGCTCCTGCATTTCTATCAGCCTGCCTGGACCTGCATGGATGCCAGTCTCTTGGAGGGGGAAATGACAAAATTCAAACAAGGGGCCAGTTTTTGAACCTTATGGGTTCCTATGAGAGAATTTCTATTTAAATGATTATCTTAAAATCTGAATCCCTTAGATTTTAACCACTGGATGCACTAAGGAAGACACGTAGTTTCAAATTCTACCACATTTTAAACAATGTGACTCCTACCTAATTTCCAACAGGAGATATATTTTGGTTTAGTGTTGTAAGCGCTAAAAAGAGCCAGTAAACGTTAAATACCACCAAATGACCTAGTGTTTATATCATACCTGATACTTGTCTGTCCTCCTAAGTCCCAAACTTGGAATTTGAGATTTTTGTATGTCACCGTCTCTACATTAAATCCAATAGCTGAAAGAGAAATCAAATCAACATATATGTAGGCTAATATACTCTACCTTACAAAGTGTCCAACTTCACTGTTTTAGCAACTGCCTGTAGTTTTCAATCACATTATGGATTAATATAACATTTAAGACAATATCCTCCCCACTCTACCCCCTCACTGGCTGGCTGTCAAGCTCCAGACATCTGCCAGGTAGTATTTGCTACCTACTGAGCAATTCCCCCAGCCCCAGAAGTCTATTAAACTACCCTGAGAGCTGTATATATATATAAGTGTTCAGAAAGTCTTATTTGAAAAGTTGTTATAGATTCAAAAGCTATAGCTCTGACAAATAGCAAACAATCAAAGCTAATATAAAAGACTAGGCTCTAGATTTCAATAAAGCCATGTTCTCTGCAGGCTGCAGCCTTACAGACGCTCCACAGATATCTCAGGAGCTCACTCGGAACAAAGTCAGAGCTAGATAATCAATATCTCATCCCTATTGTCTACCACCCTTCTTAAATGTACACCACACAGCTGAAACCAGAAACTATTTTCAAAGAAAATCTAAGTGAGGAAGAAAGTCATGCTGAAAACACCCAGGGTGGACATGTACAAAGTCTGCTCTCATTTCCTAAGCTTAAAAAAAAAGAAAAAAGAAAAGTCAGGCCAGGCTTTTAATCCCAGGGCTCGGGAGACAGAGGCAGGCTAGCCTGATCTACAGAGTGAGTCCCAGGGTATCCAGGGCTACAAAGAGAAACCCTGTCTCAGAAAACAGACAAACAAATAAAAAAGTCAGGGTGAAAGCTGTCTTACAACTGCCACTGATGTTTCTGCTTCCTACCTTTAATGATGTTGGTAAATGGTGTCTTTGGCGGGTAAGTATGCATATTACAACTGAAAAATAAAACCATGGCAAGTGTGGCACTCTAAAAAGCAAGTTGCTGTCTTCCTCAGAACTAGACATGTGCAAGTCTATGTTCATCACCGTCAAGAACACGTTGATGTGTAAAGGACAGGCGTGGAAACAGCCCACGCTGCAGTCCACATGTTGTGTGGCAACGTGCACTGCAAAGGCCACAAAAAGCTACCCACGTGGAGAGGAAAGAATCTCAGAAGCAAGAATCAAAGGAAATAAAATGGGTAGAAAGCTGCAAAAAGAAATAACAGATGCTACAAAATCCAAACATTCCCCCTTGAAAGCAAAAGAGAAAAACCCTGGAAAGTTTAATAGTAATAGTGACAAAATGGGGATATCCAACAGAGTAATTCAAAGCACACAATTTAAAGTCCTGAGCAAATCCTACAGATTCTTCAACTTAACTAAAATGTATTAATCTAAAAAAATGTATTAATCTTATCTCTATAAATTTAGCTCAACAAATGAAAAGGTGTAAAGAAAGAAACTTTCTAAGACAGCAAGAATAACAAGGCCATAGGCCGAGTTAAGATTAAAGTTCAGGTGTTTCTTCTCCTTGGTGTCCAGGTACCAGCTCATTTCAACACTCTGCTTCTACAATTCCCAGTTTCAAAAGTGAGCTACAGAATTACTTAGGAGAAACCACACTGTAATTCAAGAAATAGATACGCGGAAAAGGTGCTCTGTGTGCAACAATACCCACTTAACATCTATGTAAGTCATTATACAGGTCAGCAAGGCACTCTGTAAGCCTCATTTACTCCTCAAAGCTAGGAGATAGTATCTTCATTAAGCAATAAAGATTTAGTGACTTAAGTCAACTATAACTCTAAACAGAGAAGCCTGTTTGTGTACCTAGATAGGGAACCTTAAATTGCACGAAAATGCTTCCAAGTTTATTTTTTAAAAAATCATATATATAATTATCATTTCCATACTAGAATTTTACAAACCCCTATCATATGACTCATTTATCCAGAAAGCTGGATTAGATGGACACAAAGTTTTATCAAACCAATACTTACTGGGAATAGTAGTAACAACTTCTCCAACCTGTAATCTGTACAAAATTGTCGTTTTTCCAGCACCATCTAATCCCAAAATTAAAATCCTCATTTCCCTGGTTCCAAAGAGACTGGAAAAAATACTTGAGAAAAAGCCACCTACAAGATAATAAAAATAAAAATGTATTTGATGACATCTTGTAAATTAGACCCACAAAACATTTAACCTTGCCTCTTGAAAGCTAGATGCCTAATTAAACAGCAAAACATTGTCCTGAATGCACAGGTAGATACCCTTGCTTCCAATATTCAACAGCAAACAGTAACAGGTGAAGTTCCCAGGTCCTGAGAAATGTCAGGTAGGCAGAACACATCATCAGACATCTAGACACTGCCCTCAAGAGTCCAGTTCATTTTCTCATCAAGAAAATAAGGATGCAGTAACTTAGTACAGTCTCATCCTGAGAAGTAACACAGTAGCGTGCTCTGAGTGACAGAGCACTGACTTGACTGTAAAGCCACAGTACCAATATAAGCCTTTAGGGCACTCTCCACTAACCAACAGAACTACCTCAACAAATTATTCTATTGTTTTGTTTATTATTATGGGGGGGTGAGATAAGGTCTTTTACTTTGTAGCCCTGGATGGCCTGGAAATCAGTATGTAGACCAGGCCAGCCTCAAACTCATAAAGATCCACCTGCCTCTGTTTCCTGAGTGCATCAGAAACTCATTTTAGACAGAAAGGCTACATTCACTATTTTATGAAATATTTCCTGGAACCTTTATGTACCCAAGACACCCAGAGATGTAAAAGTATTTGTGACACAAATACTGTGCCTTCAAAAGTCACTAAAAGAAAAAAAAAAGCTACAATATAAAGTGAGAAAACGGAAACGTGGGGGATATGAAAGAGAATATGCTCAGCATGCAATCAATATACATGTAATATAGATATAGATATATAGATATGTAGATATGTAGATATATAGATTTTTTTTTTAAATAAAAGGCAAGGCCTTTGGCTAGTAGTCCAATAATACCAGTTACTCAGAAGGCTAAAGCAATAGCGGTATGATACCACCTTTGGCTACAGAGTGAGTTGAGTTCAAGGCTAGGCAACTTAGTGAGATCCTATCTCGAAGTTTTAAAAGGGCTGGGGCTATACAGCTCAGCAGAAGGGCGTTGTCTAGCATACTCCAGGGCTGACTTCCAGCAGCGATCGCTTGTAGACAGGCACACGCACACGGAAAGGAAAAGAGACAGGAAGAAAGGAAGAGATGCCACACTTTGCTATTTGGGGGAAGATGGCACAATTAAAGCTGCCCACTCTAGAAAAACAAACACAGAACAAGCTGTATAACAGAAAGAATGGGTGTGACTTGACAAAGTCCTTTCGGCGAGAGGCGGAAAAACAATGCCGAAGGGTTACAGAGAACCGAACGGAACTATAATGCTCTGAATCCATAAAACAGTAAGTACTGACATAATCCGAAGAACCTGTAACACCTAGAAGCTCCAGCTGTACTGGATGGAGCATCACCGTAGGGTGCGCTCGGACGTCTACCGTAGTTCCCTCCCCTAGAGAAGTACGAATCTGCGAATAGACATTAAAACCTCACTCCCTGTCCCGCCGGACTCTCCCACTTTACAATCCACCAAACTCCACCATCTCCACAGCTAGCTAGCTACGGCGGGCGAGCAGACAGGAGCAGCGCAAGGAGCAACAAACACCACCTGTCCTCGGGTTTCTAAAAGTGACGCAGTCTCAACACTCACACAGAAGCCATCAAGCTTCCAAGAAGGATCAGACACCTCGGTGAACCTGCAGCTGCCTGGCTGCCAGGCACCCGTCGCCCCGTTCCGCCTACACAACCGAGATGGGGATGCAGGATGAGGGGCTGGGCTGGGACCAGTCTGGACCCCGCGGGTGCAAGAGACTGAGCAGGGAGGTGGGGTCTCCCTGCAGGTGAAGAGCTGTCCGCGGCCCAGCCGGTCCCCTCGGCCGCCTTCCCACGCTCCTCACCCATGATGAACCGCCGCCGCGCCCTCGCCGATCCTCAGAGACAGGCCGGGACTCGGCAGCGACTCCTAGTTGAGCCTGGGCGCCGCCACCTCCGCTGCTCCTCGGACTCCGGTTCCGAAGCGGATGCCTCCGAGCCTGGTCAGCCAGCAACTTCCACGTCGTCCACCCAGCGGGGGCGGGAGCCGGAACGAGAGGCCACTGCGACTGCGCGCCGGACACGGAGGTCTGGGCGTCCGCGTCGACTCTTTCGACGCAAGTCCCAGGCGCTCTGAGCGTATCCGAAATGAACGCCACAACTATAACAAAAAAAATTAAAGACCAAAAGTGTTTCCTGATTCCACTTTTCTGGACAGTAAGGCCTTTTCAAATATTAAAATGGGACTTTTTCATGTTAAATTCTGATATCATATAGTGGCGAATCGGCCAGCGAAAAACAAAAGCTCGATGAAGCGAAGGCACAGTATGCTGGCGCTGGTTGCCGAGTCCGGGTGGTTGCAGATCCTGGAGCAGTCTGCGGAGGCGGTCCACTTTCCTCTAGATGCATTCCCGCAGGAGGAGCCAGGGTTACGTAATAATAACGAGAAAGCTCACCCGCGCTCACTGCGTGCCACCAACACGGGGCACCCTCGTACCCGAGGTGTCTAATTTTTTGTTCTCTGGGTGGCCACCTGACCACCTTTCCGCCTCCGCAGGACTGGGAACTTGTTACCTCCTGCGACTTGAGTTGGAAGTTTCATAGTTTTCGATCGTGAAAGGGTTGGGTGTTTCTTATCATTCTTAGAAACGCTTCTTGCTTCTGCGCAGCCACTGAGGCTCGAGGCGCGCTCCAGGGCGGATCCATCAGTAACTCAACGCCCTGGCCAAGGAAGGCAGTGCTCCTGGAGTTATCATGGACGTCAATACTGCTCTGCAAGAGGTGCTGAAGACCGCCCTGGTCCACGATGGCTTAGCACGAGGAATTCACGAAGCTGCCAAAGCGTTAGGCAAGCGCCAAACCCATCTCTGTGTGCTTGCATCCAATTGTGATAAACCTATGTACATCAAGTTGGTGGAAACCCTTTGTGCTGAGCACCAAATCAACCTAATTAAGGTTGATGACAACAAGAAACTGGGGGAATGGGTAGGCCTCTGCAAAACTGATCGAAAGAGGAAACCTCGGAAAGTGATAGGTTGCAGCTGTGTGGTGGTTAAGGACTATGGCCAAGAATCTCAGGCTAAAGATGTCATTGAAGAGTACTTCAAATGCAAGAAATGAACAACAAAATTGGCTTATTTTCTTTTAAGTTCCTAAAAACAGAAAAGTACAATTATCTCAAAAATTCGTGAGTTTTCGCCGGAAATAATAGCACTTTTTAGGAGGTTTTCTTCCAAATGTAAACTTTGCATTATTTTGTTCTTGTTTATAATGAAAATGTTCGCCGGGCGTTGGTGGCGCACGCCTTTAATCCCAGCACTTGGGAGGCAGAGGCAGGCGGATTTCTGAGTTCAAGGCCAGCCTGGTCTACAGAGTGAGTTCCAGGACAGCCAGGGCTATACAGAGAAACCTTGTCTCGAAAAACCAAAAAAGAAAAAAAATGTTCATCTTTTTGGAAATTTAGAAACTACGTAAGGATTAATCTGCCATTATTAGGTAGGGTTTAATTAACAAAATTATATGTATGTTGCATAGTGTAATATATATTAAAAAATTATAATTATATACATGTACATATATATGTGAGAGAGACATGATTACCATCTAAACATAGCCAAACCCTCATATATTTCCTTTAACTGTTGAGCACACTGAAGATCTATTTGGCATTTTTCAAATAGGCAGCATATTGTTGTTAACTATAGTCAGTATGTTGTGACTATACATCTAAGGGAATTTGTTCATGCTGTTGCAAAGTAATCTGTACCGTTTTACCAATGTATCTGCATCCCCGCTCCATCCCCTGACAGTCACCATTGCGCTCTCTGCTTCTGAGTTTCCTCCATAGATTCCACTTAGGAATTAAATCTCCCAACACCCTCATAGGTGGAAATGTGTGATTTTGCATTATGCTTATTTCATTTAGCAGAATGACTTCTAAGCTCATGTTATAAATGAAATCGTTTCCTTTTTAAGGCTGACTAGTAATTCTGTTGTTAAGCATGTGCCTATGTACATTCACTTTTTCCAAATTAATCCATTTATTCTGGTTGATTTTGTACCTTTTTTGTAGATTTTTTTTAAAGATTTATTTTATTTTATTTGTGTGAGAAATCTGTAGCTGTCTTCAGACACACCAGAAGAGGGCATTAGATCCTATTACAAATGGTTGTGAGCCACCATGTGGTTGCCGGGATTTGAACTCAGGACCTCTGGAAGAGCAGCCAGTGCTCTTAACCACTGAGCCATCTCACCAGCCCTGTAGATTTATTTTTTATAATTTTTGAGTGTGTATGTGCCTATGGCATGGATGTAAGTATGTACACATAAGGACAGGTGCTCTCAGAGGCCAGCAACATCTGGAGCTGTCCAGAGCTGCAGTTATAGGCAATTGTGAACCACCTGATGTGGGTGCTTCGATCCAAATTAGGGTCCTCTGCAAGAATAGTAGTTATTAACTGAGGATCCACCTCTAGCTCCCACTGCTTTTCTATATCAACAGTCATGATTCATACTCAATAAGCATAGGTGTGCATGGCACTCTGACATACTGATTTCATTATCTTAAGATAAATACCACAAAGTAGATGCCACAGTATTTATTTTCCTTTTTAAGGAACCTCCATATGGTTTTCCATAACGGCTGTAATAGTTTGCGTTCCTACCAAGAGTCTGTTTTGTTTTTTTACTTTACTACACAGATATTGAATGAAATCTCCAACACCCTCATCTTCATCCAAAGCCCTGAGTTCACAGAAACATTCCCTGCAAGGAAAAGTCATTCGAGAAAGTGAATTTCTACCTAAATACCTGTAAGGTCTGGAGCATGACTTCTCTCTAGGATGAGCCACTATTGAGTTTATTAAATATACAATAAGCAAAAGTAAGACATTAAATAGCCTGTAGGAGACAGAAGCAACAAATAATAAAACATCATTAATTCAGGTGTTCATAATATCCAGCAGACAACCAGGGTAACCCAGGTGAGAGAGCAGACAAATGGTGGTATCAAATCCAGAACTTTCAAACATCCAGCAGAAGTCATCAAAAATTCCTCATAGAAGCAGCAAACTAGAGTTCCTGACCCATGTCTCCTTAGGTTGAGGCTTCTGTGTAAAATAACAGCAGACAGAATCGTTGAGTCAGACTTAGTCATCCTGAAGAATCCAGCTGGGGAAAGGACCCAGAAAGAAGTGCAAGATACAAGAATTCAGGAGCACTGCATTTGTTCCGCTGATGTGCTTCCCATGGCTAAATTCTGGTTGTCTCCACTCTGGGCATTTTTATATTGTGGGGTAAATACTAGTAACTCCTGTTGGAAATGCTTCACCTTCTAGCTGTTCTCAAGGACACAAGGATTCTTTTTTCTTTTTGTTCCTTTCTGCTTTTCTCTCCAGGTTACAGAGCCAGGGACCAGTCTGACTCAACACAGGGGAGTTGTAGGACACTTGAGCCTGAAATAGAACAACCAGCCTTCAGCTTCTCAGATTAAAGAGCACATAATGAGTTACCAGTTAATGACAAACACCTGAGCCTTTTAAGGTTAGTTGTAAAGACTGCCTTGTCTTCCTATGCTTTACACATAAAACATGCTTATGATTCCACTGACCATCTCGCCCCTTCTCCCAGCTCCTCTGTAACATGAGTTGCTACATTGACAGGTCTTGGTCATTACTACTTCAAACTTAGGCTCTTATAGATTTATCTTGGAGTACAACTGCATAAAATTCCTGAGAGTATGGATTCTCTTTAAAAGAGGGCCAAAAGGAAAAATATGCCACATTTGTAAAGGCCAAGCAGCTCACACCTTTAATCCCAGCACTTGGGAGGCAGAAGGCAGGTGGATCTCTGAGTTCGAGGCCAGCCTGGTCTACATGGTGAGTTCCAAGATAAGCCAGGGCTACATAAAGAGACCCTTTCTCAGAAAGAGAGAAAAGAGGGGGAGAGTAAAAGACAGAAAATATACCACTATAAAACTACTGTGAAAATAACAAGTCCCTGTATGCAAATTTTGGAACTCTATTTCTCAAAACTTCCACAATAAGGAGTAATCTCTGCGGTTCCTCCCAGCGCCAACAGGTGGCTCCCAACTGTAACTCCAGTTCCAGGGTGTATTAGGGTTTTCTAGAGACTCTGTCCATAGGCTGAAGGCTGAACCTCTATCTATCTATCTATCTATCTATCTATCTATCTTTGGTTTTTTGAGACAAGGTTTCTCTGTGTAGCGCTGGCTGTCCTGGAACTATGTAGAGCAGGCTGGCCTCGAACTCAGAAATCCTCCTGCCTCTGCCTCCCCAAGTGCTGGGATTAAAGGCGTGGGCCACCACTGCCCAGCGGCTGTTTATCTCAGCTGACCTTCACAGATGCTGGAATCCTAAAGAAGTAGGAACCAAGTCAGTGAAAGAATGGATGTGCTGGCAAGGCAAGGACAAGCAGGCAAAGAGCAGAAACTCCCTTCTTCCATTCCCTTCTATAGGCTTCCAGCAGAAGGCGTGGCCCAGATTAAATTAGGTTGAAGGTGATTAGATTAGATTAGATTGATGAGATTAAAGGTGTGTCTTCCCGCCTCAAGATCCAAATCAAAAAACTGTGTCTTCCTGTCTCAAAGATCCAGACTAGAGCCGGGCGGTGGTGGCGCACGCCTTTAATCCCAGCACTTGGGAGGCAGAGGCAGGGGGATTCCTGAGTTCGAGGCCAGCCTGGTCTACAGACTGAGTTCCAGGACAGCCAGGGCTACACAGAGAAACCCTGTCTCGAAAAACCAAAAAAAAAAAAAGATCCAGACTAGAAGTGGATTCGCCCAAGTACAAATAGTCTCTCACAAGTCTGCCCTCCATTTCTGGATTATAGTTCTTTCCAGATGCACTCAAGGTGACACTAGCCATCACACTCATCAGATTCAATTGTTCTGACCTCCATGGGCTCCTACATGTACCAAGCATACATGCATACATACATACATACATACAGGCAAATGCCTATGCATAAAATTAAATATATTTCAAAGCATAATCTTTGAGGGAGTAAACTATAAAGTCATACTAACGATGCTTGTATTGGAAGCTTTGCATTCTTATTCTTGAGACAACCACATTGAACTGACTTGTTTAATATGTTCATATTTAAAATTGCAACATGCCCCATTTCCCATTGCTCTAATTTTTAGGACAAATTCTTAACAAAATAATAAATTTTCTCAGGAACTATATTTTTGTCTTATGCTTATTTTCTTACATTCACTAAAATATAAGATAAGTGAATTTTTACTATTACAAAAAAGCAGTAAGACATTTGTTTTTGTTATTGTTTGTTTGGGTGTTTGAGACAGAATCTCACTATGTAGCCCTAGCTGGTCTCTATGTGGACCACAATGCCCAGCTATATATTAAATTATAAAACGAGATTTTGGGGCTTGTGAGATGGCTCAGCAGTTAAGAGCACTGACTACTCTTCCGGAGATCATGAGTTCAAGTCCCAGCAACAACATGGTGGCTCACAACCATCCATAATGAGATCTGTGTATGGGGTGTCTGAAGACAGCTACAGTGTGCTTACATATAATACATACATACATACATACATACCTTTGGGCCAGGGCAATTGAGGCCAGGTGAGAAGTGCCAATAAATAAATAAATAAGGAAGATTTTGGGACTAATGCTTGTTTTTGGTTTTTGATTTTTGGTTTTGGTTTTTTTATTTTTTTGTTTTTCGAGACAGGGTTTCTCTGTGTAGCCCTGGCTGTCCTGGAACTCACTCTGTAGACCAGGCTGGCCTCAAAGTCAGAAATCCACCTGCCTCTGCCTCCCAAGTGCTGGAATTACAGGCAAGCGCCACCACTGCCCGGCCTGGGACTAATGCAATGATCATTAATTTAATTCTTAAATGTTCTATAATATTAGTGAGTTTGTTACCACAGTCATAATGTCATACTGGATATCAAAAGAGTGTCCCTAGTCAAGAGCAGCCACTAGGTGGAGGCGGTGCTTTAAGCTAATTGTGGTTAGACGTCAACTGGTCAGTTTATTAGAAGCAAGGAACAACTTGCTATCTCATCTGTTTTCTGGGAGCGTCTTGCCAGATCCAGGCTGACACTGAACTTGTGATCCACCTGCCTCAACTTTCTAATTTCTAGGGTTAGAGATGTGTGCAAGTACAGCAGAGTAACCTGTTTAACCTTTTATGTTGTTTCTGTTCTTTCTCCACCACCCCCCTTTTTTTTTTCAGAGTCCCACTCTGTAGCCCAGGCTGGCCTCTAACTCACAGAGATCCTCCTACC